TGGTGTCTTATTCACAATACTGGACCAGGTTCTATTTTGAGTGTAATTCGAATAATGTAATGCCTCTGACCAAAATTGTTTGCCTAAACCAGCATCCTCTAATGTGCACCTAATCATGGTTTGTAGTGTGGAATTTTTCCTCTCTGCAACTCCATTTTGAAATGCAGAAAAAGGATTGGACGTGAAATGTAACATTCCTCTATCCTTTAACCATTGGGAGAATTCTTTAGACATGAACTCACATCCCCTATCTGTCATAATTTGCTTTATTCTGATATTATGTTGTGTTTCTATACGTTTGTAGAATTCCTTAAATTTCTGAAATGTTTCATCCTTGTGCTTTAATGTGTAAACAAAACCATATCGGCTGTAGTCATCCACTATTGTTAGGAAGTAACGTTTTCTATAGGTAATTGAGGGACTTAATGGACCAACTAAGTCCATATGTACCAAATCAAAAATATTGTTAGTTGATCTGTTAGATTTTTTTGGTCTGGGACTGGTTTTTAGTTTGGTGGACTTACATACTGAGCATTCCAAATAATTTTCACAATTTTTTATTTTGACACCTTCTGCGTGTTCAGTCATTTTTTGTACTACAGGAAAGCTTGCATGTCCTAACTTCCTGTGTAAGATGTGAGCACACTCATCATGAATTGGTTTACCTATTTTTGGTTTCTTTTCCTTGTATGTATTTTTGTGATCATGAGTTATTCTACACTCATCATTGTCACTGTTACTGACATTTTCATCATCTGCTTCAATACAATCTTCCATATTTGAATCAATGTTATGTAAACATCTTTCTTTAGTTATCAGATAGGGTAGACCTCCTTTTATCATTACAGTACCTACATTTGTTTTGTTCTTTTCTATAGTTGCTTTCCCCTTTGAGAAAACTATATTGATATCAGATTCTCTGCTTAATTTTATGGCACTTAGTATGTTGTGAGGTATTTCTGGGATTAATAATACCCCCTCTATTTTCCCTAGACCAGGCAAGGTCACATTTCCTTTGCCTAGTACTTGAACCTTTTCTTGATTAGCTACCTTTATCACAAACTTATCTTCTATAAATGAAGATAATATACTTTTGTTGTTGGTGGTGTGATTTGTTGCACCAGAATCAATAAGCCAATTGTTATTCTCATCCTGCTGTGTTCTGGTGCTGTCTTGTTTATTTAGCCCATTCAGTGACCCAGATTTCCTCTCTTTTGAATTTTCTCTACCCCTTCTACCTTCTTTGTAATTTGGTGGACTTCTATATTTGTGTCTATCTGTGGAAGATTGTCTGTAATTATATTTGCTCCTATATTCTGGTCTATGTCTCTCTCTTGAGACTTTGGGGCAGTCTCTTCTACTATGTTCCCTGGATCCACAATTGTAGCATCTAAAGGCCTCATTATGTTTATCTTGAAAGACTACTTTCCTAAAAGGTTTGTGGTCTGTTTGGTTACTGGATCGATTTTTTCTTGAATTGTCTTCTGCTATCAATTTGTTAGATAGACTTTCTATGGATAAATATCCCAAATTAATGGTATCTAAGTGTGACATAAAGCTATCCCATGATGGATCAAGTGAATTGATAATAACACTTTTCATTGTTTGATCTGAAATCACTTCCCCCCTCAATTGTAGCTCAGCTCTTATTTTGTTTAGATTTATCAAATGCTCACTTATAGAAACCCCTGGTTTTACTCTAGAGGAAAAGAAATCCTTAGACATTCTTGTGGTTGTAGCTACGCTATCGCTGTGAAATAGATTAAACATGCATTGAATTATTTCTGATACAGTTAGGTTTGGTTTGATGCTATGATACATTGCAGGAGACACGCTAGATATTATTATGAAAAATGCTCTATGATGTAAACAATCTATTTTTAAAGTCCAAGGTCTTCTTGGAGGGCTAGTTATAAAGAATAGTAAATTTTCTTTCATGAAAATAACCTGAAGCTGTTGATACCACTCTTGTAAATTAATGCCATCAATTCTAAGTTTTGGGAAGTCACTGGGTAAGTTACCTACATTATTCTGTCCATTACTTACAACCTGGGGCAGTCCGTGATCTCTCAAGTGCAGGAAATTACAGAACGGCATTGGGATGCTTGCAATGAGTCTGCGCGGTTCTCTGGCCAGTTCAAGTCCTTCTGGGTCGTCTACGTAGTTTCGCACATGCGCGTTGCTCATTTCTTCTTTGGTGGCGTCGTGGAAGGTTCTCTCCCTTTCAGCTCTCTCGATCCGCTCCTCCTCAGATGAGTCGGTCTCTGGCTCGGTTTTTGGGGTTCTGGTGGTGGTGACGGTTCTTTTCTTCTTTTTGTGTGCGTTGGTATTCAATTTTGTCTGTGGTGTAGGGCGAAATCGGCATGGCTCTCTGGGCTCGGGCGTCGTCGCTTTCGAAGTCAGGATGGGAGCGTGCAGGTCTTGAGTCGCCGGTTTGATTTCTTGCTTCTTCGTAGATGTCTTGGTAATTTTCAGTCTTGGCCCAAAAGCAGCAAAAAGCGTTTTCATTGCTGATTTTACTTGAGATTTTGTTAAATCGTCTTCACTTTCTGATTTTGGATCATCTGAAGAGTTTGAGACTTCTTTCTCACTTTCTTCGTCTGATAGTGTTTTTCGCGCCAGAAATTTTGAACTGAGCGTTTTGATTGGCTCTGCTCCATTCTCTTTTGAAGTTCGTTGAAACCAAGATGGCTGCCATTCAAAATTTCGCGCGGGATCACATCTTTTCTTTTTAACAACTATTTTCTCAGTAGTCATCTCACTTACGATTTTTTGATCTTTGGGTTTTTCTTTAATGACGTTTTTCTCTCTCGCTGCTCCGCTGTTCTTCAGCATCTCCTGGAGGTCCGCGATGAGACTTTCATCATTCTTTTGGCTTTTTAGTATCTTTAATATCTCTGACCTGAGTTCGTTATTTTCTATTTCGATTTCTTTCTGGTCATTATTTTCACTCATTAGTTCTTCTTCTTCAGTGGTGTATTCTTCGGATTCTCTCGAAATCGCATTGGTGGATTCGTTGACCATCTCTTGATCAGTTTCTATTTCTTTGCTGTAGGCCCTGGTGTTGGGCCTATCTTTCTTGGACATTTTTAATTACTTATTGAGTCAATTAACCATCCTCTGCTACCAGCTTGTTGCAATATTTTCAGGATCAGACTCAATAAAGATAATTGGAGTTAGAGCTTTAAATATATTTCTTTTTAATTATGATAGGCATTCTATATTCACTGAATATTCAAGGTAGAAGCGACGAGAATGGTGAGGGTGGCTCCTTATATATACAAGGGGTGGAGCTAGGAATGGGAGTGGTAAGTTATGAATACATTAAAGTCCAAAGAATAAGTTAACCTCTGATGTTCCATATATACATTATTTACACATTGGAGAATAAGGCATTTACATCTGACAGTCCCTCTATCTGAAAGAGGGATATTGGGACCTCTCTTCTTTGCCATTTCTGAAGGACTGTCCAGCCTTCTGTGAAGATGGGAGAGCCAGAAGACGGAGAATTAAGAGTCACAAGAGATAAAAGGGTTTCAAGCTTGTCCACTTTGAAAATAAAGATTTCAGGGTCGGTGTTTCTCATGAGAAGTTAGTTCCTCTATGGGAACTCATGTACACCAAGATACCTGAGCAGAATCCTTCTGTAGGGAAGCCTTGAGAAGAACGTTATCAATGTGGAGGAATGTTAGTTAGGTGTGGTTAATTTCCGGACTGCCAAAATCCAACTGGCCATGAGATGGCAGAAGAGAGGGACACTGCATTCAATTTTGGTCGCCACGATGTAAAAAAGACGTGGAGACTCTAGAAAGAGTGCAGAGAAGAGCAACAAAGATGATTAGGGGACTGGAGGCTAAAACATGAAGAAACGGTTGCAGGAACTGGGTATGTCTAGTTACTGACACTGCTATCATGTCTCCCCTAGACCTTATTTTCATTAAAGAAGGACTAGGGGAGACATGATAGCAGTGTTCCAATATCTCTGGGGCTGCCACAAAGAAGAGGGGGTCAAGCTATTCTCCAAAGCACCTGAGAGTAGGACAAGAAGCAATGGGTGGAAACTAATCAAGGAGAGAAGCAACTTAGAACTAAGGAGAAATTTCTTGATAGTTAGAACAATTAATCAGTGGAACAACTTGCCTCCAGAAGTTGTGAATGCTCCAACACTGGAAGTTTTTAAGATGTTGGATAACCATTTGTCTGAAGTGGTGTAGGGTTTCCTGGCTGCCTAAGCAGGGGGTTGGACTAGAAGACCTCCAAGGTCCCTTCCAACTCTGTTATTCTAAATTCTAAATGTTTCCATATCTACCGGTACTTACTGCCACCTTCTGCTGGTCTGGCATTCTGCAGATTAACTAGGCTTAACCCTAACAAACCTTTCCTTCTGCCTGGAACGGTAAGCCAATTTTGCTCACCTGGATCTCTAATGGGTTATGTTCCTCTGGATTGCTGATACTGCCTCTAGTACAGGGGTCCCCAAACTTGGCCGCTTTAAGAGTTGTGGACTTCAACTCCCAGAATTCTCCAGCCAGCCATGCTGGGTCCACAAATCTTCAAGTGGCCATGGTTGGACAACTCCCAATTTAGCACATCGGATGAACACAGATGGGAGAAAATTGGGAAGCAACAACTTCCGAAGCTGGAGCCAGCATATCCCTGGAGGGCACCAGACTGCAGAAAACTCAAGATTTCTCCTGAGCATCTGCTCTCCACCTCACCCCAAAAGGTGAAAAACAGTGAGCTCGAGAGCAGCACCCTCTCTTTCTCCTCTCTTCTGGCTCTCCTACCTCCCCAGATACCCATCCACTACTTGTAAGACTCCCCCACCTCACCCTGGCCTAAATCATCCTCCACCCACAATAATGAGGAGCTGCTCGTCATGATGGAAACCGTAGGCTGTAAAAAAAAAATTCCCCTGCCCATGATGTGGAGATGGTTTGCTTTGCCTGACCCTTCCCCCACTCCTGCCTAGCATCTCTCCCCCCCCCCTCGCAATGCCAGTTGGTACATTCCTCTGGTACAGTATTCAGGTTGGAGATCCATTCGTTCCATGAAGGAGGGGGTGGGGGAACTGCTACCCACCAACCTTGCTGGAAGGCTTGGAGAGAGACTGACAGAGTCGGGTACTTGGCACCGGGTCCTCCTTTCCTCCCCTTCTCCTCTCTCTCTTTCTTGGGTGGCATGACACTTTTTGGCCGCAGAGAAGGCTGCTGGAGATGTGAGTAACCCTATTTTGTTCATTGGGTTGGACGTAGGTAGGGCTTCACTCCCTCAAGACAAGGTGGCACGAATTGGGCTGCCAAGGCAGAGGCAACCAGAGGGGGGAAAACAGGCAGGGAAGAAGAGGGAGTGAAGGAGGGAGAGAATTAAGCCTTGGCGAGGGAGGGAGGGAAGGAGGGTTGCTTCCACATTTAACCAGCCTCGTCCCTTCTTCTGGATACAGTACCCAGCCAGACCCATTGGAAGAAAACCAACACAAATCGATGTATTATTACACTTTGCTATGCAGAATAACCAGTGTGTGTGTGTGTGTGTGTGTATGTTTTTGTGTGTGTGTGTTTGGGAGGTGGGTGGGGGGTGTTGTTTCTTGCATGGAAACAAAGCCTGCCATTCGCTCACCCTCTCTTCCGTTTTCTTCTCTATATTAACCAGCTCTTTGGTTGAAAGAAAGTTCGATCAGTAAAAATGGACACGGTATGGATCGATAGAGCTTGCCCAGGGAAAGGTTGTTTAAGGTGCCTTAAGGTAATCCATAGGACCTCCCGAGAACCGTAGTCAGAAGACAATCAAGCATCTCTGAAACCATGGTGGCATGTATGGGCACGAGGATGTGAATGAGTGTGTGTGTGTGGTTTGGGGAAAAATAAGCCTTCTTTGCTCTTAAGCTCCTGTCTTCTAGCATGCCATTATATATATACTGAAGTTCTGCCTTTTTCAGTGGCTCGGTTTGCATGGCGTCCTAGTCAAGTACGTTTTAGCTAAGAGGCTGTTGGTTCCAGCTTGGAGATCTAGTTCATGTGTGACCTGTTATTATACAGAGGGAAGATTGGGCTGGATCAGCAAACCATGGGAAAGCTTGGTCCAAAACAAGGTACCAACGCAAGAAAGCCATCTCTCTTTTGCCTGCTAGCACAAATAGCTTTAACAGATCAGGATTCTACCTGCCATTTCTTCGATATAAAAGGACTCTGAGCACGGTTTGTAATTGTCAACTGTGAAATCCTCTTCAGGAAAGGAAAAAGCAAAAACAAAAAGCAGAGAACTCATTTCAGAAGTGATGGCATCCAGAATTTGATAGCACCCCAAACAGCAGTTGATGGTTATATATCTTGAGAATGTTCCAAGCAGAAATAGATTCTGGGGGGGTGCCATTATTGGCTGGAGGTGTGGGTGGGAATCCATCTGGAATGGACAAAAACCGAAAGAGAGAAGTAGATTTCTGGAAGGACAAAGTTTGTCTCGTGTAGCCGGTCTTCCCGCGTTCCCATGAATGCTCAGATCTGAAATCCCAAATCCTACTGATTGCTCTAGGTTCTTATCACTCTAGGTAAATGTGTGTATGTGTGTGTGTGTGTGTGTGTGTGTATATATATATATGTATGTATGTATGTATGTATGTATGTATGTATGTATGTATGTATGTAAAGAAAGAAGCAGACATCCTGCGAGCTCCGGAACTTAAAATTTTAAATAATTAAATTTTTATTTACTAAGCTTACATATATATATATAAGTGTGTGTGTGTGTATGTATGTATGTGTGTGTGTGTGTGTATATGTGTGTGTGTATATATATATATACACATATACACACACACATACATACACACACTTACCTAGAGTGATAAGAACCTAGAGCAATCAGTATATATATACTTATTGATTATATATAATCAATAAGTATATATATAGGTAAGTATAGGAAGCTGCTCCAATTACAGTTCCTAGTTAAGGAAGTACTTCATCTTTTAAATGCATTTTGAATTTTTAGTGCAGCTAAAGAAACACAGCTCTTTTTCTCTCTCCACCAAACAGAAAACAATAATTCTGTACTAGGGAAAAAATAATAATAATCTTGATTCATCCTTTGCAAGCTAGGTGGGAAAGAAGCAGGGTGGTCTTTCCCCCCCACCCCCAGAAGGAGCAACTTTGCTGCCAGTCCTCTGAGTGAAAAGTCTAATTCTGTCTTCAGACAATTCCAAAGCTGATAAATAGCACAGATAGGTTGAAAAGATGTCCCTTGTTTCCTTCTGAATTTTAGCTTCAACTTTCTCTCCTTCGTCTGGGTGACAAAAGGATCATGAGCTGTGGTGGCGCAGTGGTGCAGTGGCTAGAATGCAGTATTGCAGGTTAAATCTGCTGACTGCCAGCAGTTCGACCCTGACTGGCTCAAGGTTGACTCAGACTTCCATCCTTCCGAGGTCGGTAAAAGGAGGACCCAGATTGTTGGGGGCAATAGGCTGACTTTGTAAACCGCTTAGAGGGAGCTGTAAAGCACTGTGAAATGGGATATAAATCTAAGTGCTATTTCTTTTGCCATATCTGTCCTCTCCTACTTGTGCTCTAGTTTGACTCTGCTGTTTCTCCTTAGTTGCCAAATTTTTCTTTTTCTCTAGATATAAACATGGCCCAAGAGCCTAAACTGAGACATACCAGGCCTGGTCAGAAGAGGCAGCACAGTGAGAGCCTATATCCGTGAGTCCACCCCACCACTGTCATTTCTCCCCACCCTCCCCCATTGCTACTGTTCTCCCCAAACCTAATCCTTGGTTTCTACTTTAAATTGCTTGGAATGGTTCTATTTATCTCCAGATTGGCCCAAACCCAGATAGGGCTGTAATCAAAATCAAATCTCCTTGGAGACTGGATTAAGAACACCAAATTATATACAGTATATTTCAGAGATGAGGATGCAAATAGGCAAGATAAGACCAGCCCATTGATTTTAGAAGGTGAGAATTGCTTGAGGCACAGAACATCCAGTTCTTAACTTCATTGTCCCTTCTAACTGTGGAATCACTCCTTTCGGTATGTCTTGCCCATTGTACATTCATGTCCGCAGCTGAGGCTGGATGGTGAAGGAAGAAGATGTAGCTTTTCCAAAAGATCCTTGGTAAAAAGATAGCAGCAAAGCGGAGAAATGGGAGTTTGGGGGCCAGATATATTTCCTTCTGTTCAACCTTCCAGCTAAGTACCTTAAGGACATAGGTGATTTCTCCTTGTCTCCTCACAACTACACTATGAGATTGACCAGGATGGTTAGTGACCTCTAAATCCCCCAGTGAGTTTCAGGGCTATATAAAGATATGGACTTCTTTCCAATCCAGCCAATTGATCTACCAACCAACCAACCAACCAACCAACCAACCAACCAACCAACCAGCTAATCAACCAACCAACCAACCAACCAACCAACCAACCAACCAACCAACCAGCATATATTCTGGGGGTTAGTTTCACCAAAGCCAGTGTGATATGGCTTCTGAAGTTCTTGATATGGCACAAATTGGAATGTGACTAAGAATCCCTTAGACCAGTGATGGCTAACCTTTTTGCCATCGTGTGCCAGGAAGGGGAGGGGCGGGGGAGATTTGCACATGCATGTGCCCACACTCATAATTCTATGTGCCCTGCCATCTGCATGTGAGTGCGACCCCCCCTTCCCCCCTCCCTGGCACATGATGGCCCAGTAGGCCCGTTTTTCTTTCTCACCTGGCTCCAGATCCTCTCTATGCATCTGGGGAGGACAAAAACAGCCTTCCCCACCCCCTTGGAGCATGGAAGTTGAGAAACGAGCCGTTTTGGGCCTCCAAGGGGGTGGGGAAGGCTGTTTTCACCCTCCCCAGATGCATAGAGAGGATCTGGAGCCAGGGAGAAAGAAAAACGGGCCTCCCCACCCCAGGCCCTCTTCTGGTGGGCCCAAAAGGGCCGAAAATCAGCTGATGGAGCTGAGCTGGCATGCCAGACAACATGGCTCCGCGTGCCACCTGTGGCACGCGTGCCATAGGTTCACCATCACGACCTTAGACAGAAAGCTAGCTGTTTACAGCTGTCATAATTAAATCTAACAACGTGGACAATAATTGTCAAGTATGCTTCTGTGGATACTTCCCCACAGATGTTTTCCACCACTCCTAAATCAATATTGCAACCATTGTTACCAAGGCACCAGAACAGATTCTTTCTTACTTGGATATGGTACAGAAAGATTTGCTATGAATGCAGTTTTATAACAAGAACATGTCCTGTCACTGGAGAAATAAATGAAGCCCAAAGAAAGGAGAGGATGGGGTGCTATCCCAATGCTCATTTCTGTGTTCCTCTTTGGGAACCTGATTGATTATTGTAGAAGTCTCAACTTTTCAAGGATAATTGCAGGAAATTCCGCAAACGATGCTGAGGATTTGAGAAGTGAAAGACTCTGCATGAAAGGGTCCTTGGAGTGGGAAAATCTACTTCATTACATCCAACATTGATCTCCAACGTCAGGACATTAAAGTTACATTTCTAACCTGAGCTAACTTAGATTGATATGGTCTTCCTCAATTTGGTGTCCTTCAATATATATTGGGATTACAATTCCTGGAGTTCTTGGCCTTTCTGGCTGTGAGTTTTGGGAGATGTAGTCTCCACACAGCTTAAACGCTGGATTTGACAAGGATGGATTAAATTCACGATGGATAACAATTTCCTACAGGGACCAGTTCACATATTGGCAACTGTACAGAGAAGAAAAAGACATCTGGACTGCCAAACTAGCGTTCAGAGCTAGTTTTGATCCAGGATTACTTTTTGGGCTTACAAATTTACTTAGAGGGGATCAAATGCTTGTAGGGCAGAGAAATCCTCCATTTTCCTTCTCTGGTCATTCTCATTCACTTTGGCAGGAGAGAATTTCAAAGGAAAATAGATACCTTGGAGACATCCTCATGGACGGTGCTTAATTAAGAACATGTGAACATCCTACTTTTTGTAGAGGTTGCAGAAAAAAATGCTTTTAAAAGCCTCTGACGATCAGGCAATTCAGCTGGGATCGTCAGAGGCTTTTAAAGGCATTCTTTTTTCCTACAACCTCTTCGGCTGAATGAAAAGAAGGACTAGCTGTATTCCAGGATTTGAGGATTTGCCACAAAGAAGAGGGGAGGGGGTCTTTTCCAAAAGACTAGAGGGCAAGACAAGAAACAATGGCTGGAAACTAACCAAGGAGAGAGGCAACCTGGAATTGAGGAGAAACTTCCTAACAGTGAGAACAATTAACCAGTGGAACAGATTGCCTTCAAAAGTTGTGGGTTCTCCATCACTGGAAGTTTTAAAGAAGAAATTGGACAGCCACTTGTCTGAAATGGTATAGGGACTCCTGCTTGAGTAGGGGGTTGGACTAGAAGACCTCCAAGGTCCCTTCCAGGAGTCCCTTCCAGGAGTCCATCAGTCTATTCTGATTGACATCTTATACATTGTATTTAGGAAGTCTCCACTCCTGTTTCAGCTTTAATCATATAAAACTAGGCAGAGATATATATATATTATCCTCTGAGCCAACCCTGGATAAAACTCCACTTTCATGCTAAATAAAATATTGGTCCGTCAGCAAGAAGACGATTTTCTCTTGACAGCCGTTTGCTTTCAGAAATGGCCGCAGATAAAAAGAGCAAGCTCTGTGATCTTTTATCACACGTAGATTTCCTCCTCCGGTTTGATCCTCTTAAGGGACTCCTCTTCGCTGCCAATAAAAGAGATTAGAAGGGAGTTGATGGAATAGATTGGGGGCTTTGATGGAGTTTATCATCTGTTTATTTATTTATTTATTTCGGGTTGGGGGAGGAAAATGACTTGGTTGCAAATAATATTTCGGTGGGAAGTCACTGCATGTAATAAAAAAAAAGTAGAAAAAAAAAAGAGAAATGCAGTTGCTGGAGGTTGATTTTCCATCTCTCTGGATTCTGGTGGAATCTGGGAATCATTTGCTAGGAGAAACCTTGCGCTGTTCTCTCAATGCCAAGGGACACAGCTGCTTAAGTAAATCTGTTTCTAAAGAAGTAAAGATTCCCCTCGCACATATGTGCTAGTTGTTCCTGACTCTAGGGGGTGGTGCTCATCTCCGTTTCAAAGCTGAAGAGCCAGCGCTGTCCGAAGACGTCTCCGTGGTCATGTGGCCGGCATGACTCAACGCCAAAGGCTCACGGAACGCTGTTCCCTTCCCACCAAAGGTGGCCCCTATTTTTCTACTTGCATTTTTTTTACGTGCTTTCGAACTGCTAGGTTGGCAGAAGCTGGGACAAATAACGGGAACTCACCCCGTTATGCGGCGCTAAAAAAAAAAAGAAAAGCCTCTGCCGATCAGGCAAGTCAGCTGGGATCGTCAGAGGCTTTAAAAGCATTTCTTTTACAACCTCTTCAGCCGAAGAGGTTGTAGAAAAAATGCTTTTAAAAGTTTTTAAAAAAAAAAGCCTCTGATGATTGCGCGGCTCAGCTGGGCAAAGGGAGGGGCAGGGATTTTTGCTACCGGTTCTCCAAATCACCCACCTCCATCGCTACCGGATCGGGCGATCCGGTCCGAACCGGGAGCATTTCACCCCTGACACTAACTAACATGAATTTAAATGAGGCTGCAGGGAGATGGTTACTCAAGATCCCCAGAATCTGGGGGAATCTAGAAAGACCCTCCCCCAATTCTTGATCGTAGGATACGCACAAAGCTGCAACCTAGGTGCCTTTGAGAGAACATGTCAAGCAGGTCTCATTTCAGCAAATCGGTCCCTCTGGACCAGTGGGAGCAGCCAACAGATGGAAGCTTGGAAAACAAAAGGCCTTAACAAAGAACCCAAAAATAACTTCCAGAGGGAAAACAATAGCTTCTCTGCACAGGCTTTCTGGAATTCCTGGCTTGGTCCATTCTCATGGCTGCCAGCAGGCTGCCTCTCTTTGCCTTTAAAAGGAGGAGGGACGTTTTTATTAGCTGTCGTGAGTGGTTCGTAAATCCCTCCTGGATGCCAGACTCGTTTTCTGCTCCATTTCGGGGGTTAGACATCCTGGGAATGGGCACCGCCCTGCTTTCAGATCTCTGTCTTTGGCACCAATTGGTCTGGAGGAGCCGTGTGCCACTCTGAGGATAGAAAGACGGGAAGAACACAAAGAGAGGGAGGGAAGGAAGAAAGCCTCAAAACATATCCAGAAATACACTTTAGAACTGTGGATGGCGAACCTATGGCACGCGTGCCACAGGTGGCACATGTAGCCATATCAGTGGACACGCGAGTTCAGCTGCAGCCCGCATGTGTGCGCCGGCCAGCTGATTTTCAGGCCTTCTGGGCCCACCAGAAATAGGGAAATAGGCTTTTTTCCTGCTTCCAGAGGGATGGGGTGGGGAAGGCCCGTTTTTCTCTCTCACTTGGCTCCAGAGCCTCTCCAGGTCCCGCCAGAAGTTGGCAAATGGGCCGTTTCTGGCATCCGGAGGATCTCTGGGGGGGCTGGGGAAGGCCATTTTCGCCCTCCCCAGACTCCTATAGAGAGGCCCTGGAGGCTGGGGACAACAAAAAAACAGGCCTTCCGGTCCCACTGGAAGTTGGCAACGGGCCGTTTTCGTCCTCCCCAGGCTCCTAGAAAGGCTCTGGAGCCAGGTGAGACAGAAAAATGGGCCTATCGGGACATTACGTGCCAGGCGCAGGAGCGGGTCGCGTGCACATGTGCGGGGCCAGGGCGCATAGAATTATGGGTGTGGGCCAAGGTCCTATCTGTAGAAGCCTGCTATCATGTATATTATAATTGAGTATGGCGCTAGCATCTCCAAATTGAAGCCTGGCCCACCAGATGTCTTCTTCCAGTGTAGAGGTCCTGTTGATCAACTTCTTCTGCTCCAAATGCCTTGTGTTGGCTTCTCTGCCTGTTTGCAACACTGAAAACCTGATGCAGCTGTTCTTCCAGGAATGGTCTGGGGCTTCCTGCTCTGCCCGAGCCAGAAAAGTGGAGCTGTGGAAAAACATGGCCAGAAACCTATTTTTGTATTGTTCCACTGAAATGTGTAGCCAACGGCCACATTATTGGGCGTTAGGTAGTATGTACCTTCAGTACATTATTATTATAGCAATATTCACATTCTGCACCCATTCCCTGGTGCAATCACAGCGTACAGCACTGGCAATAATACATCCTTGAAGTAGAATATTAGTTCCACTCGCTCAGCGTGGGTCCTCTTAGTTTCTAGTAGAGTGCCCAAGCGAATGGCTCTAAAAGCCACTTGTTTGCAAAAGTCTGCCTGCTCTGCATAATCACGGAGGTTTCCTCTGTTCAAATATGATCTCTAAAGTGCTCTTCAATCGCTGTTGCTCTCTGGGTCGTGCAGAAAACAAGCGAAAGAGCAGGGAAAACAAGGGAAAATGGCATATCGGAGCTGAAACGTGCATATTCATGATAGGGTTCCTTCCCAGAACCGCAAGGCAATTTTCTCTCCTGCTTCTAGGAAGAGAAAACCAAAGGAAGAAGTGGACAATTGGAAACGTAACTCCACAGTTGTGGCCAACAGTTGAGACGTCCAACTCATGATATGTAAAGGAACATATTCCTCCTCCTCCTCCTCCTCCTTCTTTTTTTTAATTTGATTTATATGCCGCCCTTCTCCGGAGACTCAGGGTGGCTTACAATGCGTTAAGCAATAGCCTTCATACTTTTGTATATTTATACAAAGTCAGCTTATTGCCCCCACAAACTGGGTCCTCAATTTACCTACCTTAGAAAGGATGGAAGGCTGAGTCAACCTTGAGCCTGGCTTCTTCTCCTTCTCCTTCTCCTTCTCCTTCTCCTTCTCCTTCTCCTTCTCCTTCTCCTCCTCCTCCTCCTTCTTCTTTTCTTCTCCTTCTCCTTCTCCTTCTCCTTCTCCTTCTCCTTCTCGTATTCCCGCAACTGCAGGTCTGTTTTTCGGATCATTGAATGCCACTTTTCATGGTCAGCTGCTGCGTCTCCAGGGCACAGGCCCGTGGCTTGCATATCTTTGTTGATGGTGTCGTGCCATCTTTGTTTTGGGCGCCCACAAGGTCGCTGACCATTGACTTCTAGTCGGTAGGCAGTCTTAGCCACGGTGGAAGGTGCTGCTCTGAGGACATGTCCATACCAGTGGAGCCGGCCTTCTCTCGTCTTCTCTATAATTGGTGCCACACCAAAATGCTGTCGAATGCTGTCTTTTGTGATGTGGTCAAGAAGGGAGATGTCCGTTATCCAACGGAGCCTTCGCATTTCCAGAGAGTTTTCGGTCCCTGATGTTTTCTGCCCAGCATTCAGTGCCATACAATGCAACAGGGCGGATGGAATTCCTCATTCAACTGAGGTGTGATTTCATTACAAAACAGAGACCAGGTAGATTAGCCTGGAGTGGTGAAGCCACAGAAGGAGCAAAGGAAGACAAAGGAAGGGAGGCAAGTCAGCCAATGTGAGCCCATTTATTGGCAGTGAGTCCCCGGGTTTTATGCCCTCTCTGGCTTTGAACTTCCTGGGGTCCAGAAAGAGTATCCTGATTGGTTGTCAGACTCCCAGGGGGTGGGGGTTTTAGCTAGCCTTGCTGGCTGATGTAATCTTCCCAGGTGCCATGTGGTGAGTTTCTGTTGCTAGATGGGTCCTATTGTGTTAGTTTCTGTTGCTAGATGGGTCCTATTGTGTTAGTTTCTGTTGCTAGATGGGTCCTATTGTGTTGCAGATGATGGTCTTTTGACAAAGATTGAGTTTCTGCCTCTGGCCAATTAACAAAAGGGGGGGGGCAGGAAGGTGGGAGCTGCTTCGTCTTTAAAACATGCTTCTCCATTTCTCATACAGGGAAACATAATATTCTGCCTTTTTAATATTTCCTAAAATATTTCATTCTTCTAGGAAAGGGGTGGGTGCTAACTTCCTACACTAGCAAAGGAAGATAGAACAGCCTAAATTCCAAAGTGGAACCATATTAAAAGTTTCTCATGTCTGGCATTTGGCGGTCTTCGTTGGTTAAAAGAGCAGATTTATTTTTTCAATGCATTCCAGTCTTCCTTCGTTCAGACGTACAGGGAGGTTGAACGGTTTTGCAGTGGTTTTTCTTTTAAGCAAAGGCCACCTTTGATTTTGGGGGATGATAATTGGGCTGGCTAAAAAATAAGACGGGGAATGGGATCAAGGTTAAGGAGGTGCTGGTTCAAATCTGCTGAGGAGGAGATGGCGAGTTATCCGCTCTCGAAAATATGCATTTCTAAGCTTTTCTTCTCCTTTGCAGGAGCAACTGTGACCTGGATTATGAGCTTTATAAAGATGATTTGCCATACAGGTGAGTTTAGTGCTTCAATCTTGTCTCTTTGTTTTGCAATTCAACCATAGAGATGGCAACTTCCTTAGCTTTTATATCTCCCCAAACCTCTACGCTACTCTGTCTTGAATTTAGGCTTTAAAAAGGGACTAGGAAATCAACTTCTCCTGTCCATCTTTCCTGCAGGATCTACGAATGCCAGAAGATCCCACCTCTTATTGGACACATTCCTATCAAGACCAGGAGAAGCCATCTAGGTGCTGAAAGTAAAAGCAGACTGAGCCCACACACAGACTTAAGAAGCAACAGCAATCCCACAACAGGACGTACAAAATGTGAGTGTCTGGGGGACCCCGATGTTGGAGAGAGACTTCGGTGGCAAGATGGTCTATTGAGCCAACTTGTAGTACAAAGAGCCATGTTAGTTTAGGGCAGTGTTTCTCAACCTTGGCAACTTGAAGATCTGTGGACTTCCAACTCCTAGAATTCTCCAGCCAGAAATTCTGGGAGTTGAAGTCTACTCATCTTCTCAAGTTATCAAGATTGAGAAACACTGATTTCGGGTGGCAAAAATCAGGCGTCTGGTAGCATCTTTTCCATCGAATCTGTTTTATTGCACTAGGTTAACAGAGTTGGAAGGGATCTTGTAGGTCATCTAGTCCAACCCCCCGGGCCAAGCAGGGGACCCTACACAGGGGTGAAATCCAGTAGGTTCTGAAAGGTTCTGGAGAACCGGTAGCGGAAATTTTGAGCAGTTCAGAGAACCAGCAAATGCCACCTCTGGCTGGCCCCAGAGTGGGGAAGGAATGGGGATTTTGCAGTATCCTTCCCCTGGAGTGGGGAGGGAATGGGGATTTTGCAGTATCTTCCCCTGGAGTGGGAGGGAATGGGGATTTTGCAGTATTCTTCCCCCGGAGTGGGGAGGGAATGGGGATTTTGCAGTATTCTTCCCCCAGAGTGGGGAGGGAATGGGGATTTTGCAGTATTCTTCCCCTGGAGTGGGGAGGGAATGGGGATTTTGCAGTATCCTTCCCCTGGAGTGGGGAGAGAATGGGGATTTTGCAGTATCCTTCCCCTACCATGCCAACCAAGTCACACCACGCCCACCAAGCCACGCCCACAGAACTGGTAGTAAAAAAATTTGGATTTCACCACTGACCCTCCACCATTTTTGACAAATGCCAGTCCAATCTCTTCTTGAAAGCCTCCAGTGATGAAGCTCCCACATCACACCACATTATTCCAAGGCAAAAGTTTCCACGGGCTAAAGCTCCTGTCATCAGATGCAGAGACTTGGCTATGTTTGTCTAATCAAGGTTAAATATTCCTTTGTACATCTGTTGTCAAGCAGTCAATTCTGGTTGGCTGAGCAGCTGTGTGGAGCACAGAGCAAAATCTTTAGGATGCTCAGCAGGGCTGCTGACGTGTGTTCCAGTTCATCTTGTTTTAGAAAAAAAAAAAGGAAATTAGGAAAAAGCATTCGTGGGCAAGAAGAAGACAGAAGGAGGTACAGATGCAGATTAACAGAGTTGGAAGGGACCTTGTAGGACATCTAGTCCAACCCCCTGCCCAAGCAAATCCTACACCATTCAGGTCTTCAAACATGGCAGAAACAATGAAGATAGAGAAAGCAGAATTTTGGTTGCCGCAAGGGAAAAGGCAGAACAGGCAACGTAACCTGGAGAAACGATGGTGGAAATTTAGAAACGAAAGCAGCGTTTCGTATTGATCTGAACTAGCCAGCCGATTCAATCAAGGGCCAGAAAAACCAGGAATAATGTACAAGCCGTTTCCATACAAATCTGCATCTTTGGAAGGAAAAGGATTTTAAAAAAAAAACAACACTCAATATGAGCCAATTTGTTCGTTGCAGATGTGCACCGGGAAACAATTCTCCTGATCTTTATTGCGGTGTCTTTTGCAGCTGCTGGTTTTTTGTTTTTTTTAGATTTTGCTGCTTGCAAAAGCTGGGAAATTATCCTGTTCATTAGCACAGATGCAAATGGCTGCGGGCATAAAAGCTAAGAACGAACTCCTCCACCCCCCCCAGCCCCCACCCCAGCCCACGTTTCCCAGTTCAATTTCCGCAGAGGGCCTTTAAAAAAAGGAGCGTAGCTCATTCTTCCGTCTCTCTCTCTCTCTCCCCTCCTCCCTGCAGTGCGAGCCGAAGAATTGCACTCCATCAAAGGGGAATTAAGCCAGATCAAAGTACAGGTGGACAATTTGCTGGAAAGCCTCAATCGGATGGATCAACAGCGGGAACACCCCACAGGTGAGGGAGAGAAGGGTCTTACAGAATCAAAGGGCTACAAGGGACCTTGGAGATCTTCTAGTCCAACCCACTACCCAAGGCAGGAGACCAGTGATGGTGAACCTTTTTGACATCGGAAAGGTTGCGCGGAAACGTTGCACGTCCGCGCGCTCGTCAGCCCCCCCATTCCGGAGAAGCCGAACTTCCGGGTTCTAGTGCGCATGCGTACCCGATGATCAGCTGGCTGGCACACCTGCACAGGGCGGTTTTTGGCACTGCCACACACACACGAAGGGATCGCACTCCGGAAAAGCCGAACTTCCAGGTTTTGGCGTGTATGCCAGTGGTGGGTTGCCCCCGGTTCGGACCGGTTCGTATGAACCGGTAGTAAAACTGGCGGGAGGCTCCGCCCACTGACCCGGACGTCATCAGGACGCTTCTGTGCATGCGGCCCCATTGCAGACCGGTAGTAAAGGTAAGTAGAACCCACCTCTGGCGCATGCATACCCAAAAATCAGCTGGCCGGCGCACATGAGCACACTGGTTTTCAGCACTGCCATGTGCACGAAGGACAGCTGATCATTGCGTGCACATGCACGCCAGAAACCCGGAAGACAAACAGGCAAGGCCACGCGTGCCGGGCAACATGGCTTCGTGTGCTACTTTGGAGGCACGTGGAGCCATATCTGTGGGTACGGGAGTGTTGCTCTAGCTCAGCTCCAGCGTGTATGTGCGCACCAGCCAGCTGATTTTCGGGCCCACCGGAAGTCAGGAATCGAGCTGTTTCTGGCTTCCGGGGAGGGTGGGGAAGGCCATTTTCACCCTCCTCAGGCTCCAAGAAAGCCTCTGGAGCCTGGGGAGGGCAAAAAACAGGCCTACCGGGCCTACCAGTAACTGAGTCGCTGAGCCACACCCCGCAGTTCAGTAGCAAAAAGTAATCCACGAGGCAAGAGTTAGCCAAGGTCCAATCCAAATATGCACAAGCCAGATTTCAGGTAACGCGATGTGACTCTCAGGTTTTTAACTTTGACCGTCACAAAGCCTGAAGAGCAATCACACCCACTTTTATTCCTTGTGGGGTGTGGCTCAGTGATTTAGCTCAATCTCTGGCCCTCCCACGCCTCTTTCGTTGCTGTGCACGCTTCTCCCTCCGACGCTGCCTGGGATCAAGCCAGGATTCATCATCCTCGCTCCCTATCTGTTGTTGTTCCGATATGCTCTCCTGGCATATCCCAGGCTGTTCCTCTTGGCCTTCGGATGGAATCTGAGGCATTGCCAGAGAGGAGGGTCCTGGAGAGGGAGGCCTTATCAGTTCCTCCCCATCACCTTCTGAGTCCTCTTCCTCTGTTAGGACAGGCTCGGGAGTTGGGGTCACAACAAGGGGTCTCCAGCCATGGCAACTTTAAGCCTGGCGGACTTTAACTCCCAGAATTCTGGGAATTGAAGTCCACCAAGGCTTAAAGTTGCCAAGGTTGAAGTCCCTTGCTCTAAGCAGTTTAAAGAATCAGCATATTGCCCCCAACAATTTGGATCTTCATTTTACCCACCTCGGAAGGATGGAAGGCTGAATCAACTGTGAAATAGTTGTTAAGTTGAGGACTACCTGCATTTAAAACATGTATCGAAGGTGGGCAAACCCCAAAACTCCCTGCTCCTTCTGGCTAGAATAGGAGACACCTCCCCGCCCCACCTCGAACATCTCTGATCTGACAGGTACCAAGGACAGCAAGAGGAAATTGTTCACCAGCGTGGATGCTTCCTCCCCGGCAGGAGAACTGATCAGGATGAAGGAAAGCGCCAAAAATGAGGATCACGCCCCTCAGCCAGAGGTTGACAGCGCAGAGGAGAGCACAGACACCGAAGAAGCCACGGCGGTAAGTGGGGCTGTGAGATTGATGCTGAGGGAGCAGCATTACTCCACCAGATGGGATTTTACTGCATTCCCTTCACACTTCAGAGCATCCATCGTCATTTGCCTCCATGGCATGTTTACGCTGCTGTTTCTCCTCCTCCTGTTATCAGATGGCTCAGAAGCATTGAGAGGAGGAGGGGGAGGGAGGGAGGGAGGGAGGGGGAGAAAGGGGAGGGCAGAATGGTATCGTCCACTTCAGGGTGGAAATGGACGATACCATTCTAGAGGTCTTCGCTGTCGAAGGTAGCTTAGCTGGAAAACACCGAGCTGCAAAGATGATTTGGTCGCTGAATTAATGCCTGGGTTGTAATCTGCTCAGATTATTTATTTTGTCACTCCTGCTTGTTAAGCAGCCTCTCGAAGTAACAAGAGTTGGAAGGGACTTTGGGGGTCATCTAATCCAACCCCCCTGTGCTCACACAGGAGACTTATACGAGGGATTCGAACCGCAGACCTTTCTGATCGACAAGCTCAGGGTCTTAGCCACTGGGCCATTTAGGAAGCCGGCAAGAGTGTCTCTGGAGATTCTCAGTCATCCAGGCCGCGGCTCTCTCAAAAGGCAACTGGACTTCCTTTGGTTTTTCCTTGAAGACGTTTCGCTTCTCATCCAAGAAGCTTCTTCCGTTCTGAACGGAAGGAGTTTCTTGAATGAGAAGCGAAACGTCTTCAAGGAAAAACAGAAGTCCGGGTGCCTTTCGAAAAGTACCTTTGGGATATTTGCCAAGAGATTGATGAAATGAAGGGGACGCGGTGGCTCAGTGGCTAAGATACTGAGCTTGTCGATCGAAAGGTCGGCAGTTCGGCGGTTCGAATCCCTAGGGCCGCGTAACGGGGTGAGTTCCCGCTACTTGTCCCAGCTTTTGCCAACCTAGCAGTTCGAAAGCATGTAAAAAATGGAAGTAGAAAAATAGGGACCACTTTTGGTGGGAAGGTAACAGCGTTCCATGCGCCTTCGGCGTTTAGTCATACGGTCTATGCCGACCACGGAGACGTCTTTGGACAGCGCTGGCTCTTTGGCTTTGAAAATATGAGCACCGCCCCCTAGAGTCAGGAACGACTAGCACATATGTGCGAGAGGAACCTTTACCTATAGTGTAGGACAGGAGGTCCCAATTTTTTTTAGGCTAAGGACCACGCAAGAGCGTGAAGGTGCTTCCAAAGGGCAAGACCACAAAAAGGGAAGCAGAACCAAGAAATAATGTCCCTGATTGAGCCGCAATTAAATTCAACTTAATTAGACAATTAACGTTGCTTCTTCTTGCATCCAATCACCCTCTCTTTCCGTGACATTAAAAATTACAATTTGGCAGTGGCGTTTGAAAGATTCTGGAACCGACACAGGCTTTCAAGGGCAAGGCATGAAATAACTAAAACCTGGTGAGTGGCTGCCAGCTAGTGATCGGGCTCATCCTTAACAGTAAACCATAATGTACCACTGCTAATCCCTGCCACCTGAAACTGGCCAAAAAGGTGACACGCAGAGGCCAAAAATGCGACAGCCGGAGGTGGCGATCGCCGACGATGTGCTGTGGCGATCCCCGCAGCCTGGAACGGCTCTAAAACGGAGTGTGCGAAGGCCAAAACTGCGACGTGCGGAGGCCGAAAATGGCCAAAGGGTGGAGGCTGGCGGGTGGGGGTGGGGGGCTTTGTCAACATTCGGTGTATAAGACGCACCGCAATTTTCACCCACTTTTGGGGAGGGGGGGAAGTGTGTCTTATACTCCGAAAATCACGGTAATTCTGAAAGTGGATTGAGCACTGAAGATGTTATTCCTTCCAGCTTATTTATTTATTTATTTATTTATTTATTTATTTATTTATTTATTTATTTATTTATTTATTTATTTATTTATTATTCGAATTTCTATACCGCCCTTCTCCTTTCGGACTCAATGGCTCTCCGCTTTCCATAGCTCTCCGGCATTTGGGAACTACAAAATATAATACGTTTCTCTAGCTCTAGATATGGTGACCTGGTTCAGATGCCGTAGGAAGCCATGGCTGACCTCCAATCGGCTTAAAAGCAGAGCAGCTGCAATTGGACAAGCTCAGAGTTGCCATACGGGTCTTTTGTTCCCTTGCAGGTGAGAAACCACACGCCGGATCCCGAAGGAAGCAAGTAGGGAGGGCCACCTTGCTGGGATCCCTCGCCAAGCGCTTCCTTTTCTATGTATTGCGTTTTCTTCCCATGACTTCAGCTTGTGCAGCCTCCGACGTCGCTTCCTTGCAATCCGTGCTGGTACAGAGGAGACAGGAGTCCAGCTGCAGCGTTGCTGGTGGAGAGCTTCCTACAGCTGGTGGAGAGCTTCCTACGTCAACTTAAGGGAGGACCTTGGGGTGCTGCTGTTAGATAACAACCTTAAACATAGGTCCAGGATGGGAGAAAGGGGGAGTGAGGGGAAGGAAAAGCAGGCACTGCGACTGCACATTTGTGGCTCCGAAATAAACAGTAGCAATGCGCTACAGATGAAACGTGTCCTTTTTTTCTTTTATGGGTGTCCAAAGAACAAATTGCACGTCAGGTTCAGGATGCTTCGAGCCCAGGGTTAATCCTGTCTGCAGACATCAAAAGAGGTCGTTCTGGGATTTGCGTTGCACACGTTGTTCTAAGCAAGGCTGGACGAAGATTTTATGGCGTGAATTTTCTAAACCACCCATCTCCCTCAAGGAGGGGCGGTTAGGTGACTAATGATAGATATCATGGGTGCCTTTGGTGCAGATTCCTCTAGTTCCGTGATGGCGAACCTATTTTTATTTATTTTATTTTTTATTTTTATTTATTTTTATATGCCGCCCTTCTCCGGAGACTCAGGGCGGCTTACAATGCATTAAGCAATAGCCTTCATACTTTTGTATATTTTATACAAAGTCAGTTTATTGCCCCCACAATCTGGGTCCTCATTTTACCCACCTTAGAAAGGATGGAAGGCTGAGTCGACCTTGAGCCTGGTGAGAATTGAACTTGCAGTAATTGCAGGCAGCTGGATGTTAAATGCTGCCTTAGTAGGAGGCATTAGCCTCCTACGCCACTCAGGCTCCTCATGCCAGAGGTGCCACGCATGCCAGAAGTGGCACACAGAGTCCTCTCTGTGGGCATACATGCCATCACCAGCTGCTTTTCTGGTTTACAGTGCACGCATATGCGCCGCCCAGCTGCTTTTTGTATGTGCCGGAATGCCGGAAACCCAATGATCCACTGACTGGTGCGCGCATGCTGGTCTTTGGGTTTCCGGCGCTCTGGCACACGCATACACATGCATTCCGGTTTGGGCATTCGGTGCCAAAAAAGGTTTGCCATCACTGCTCTAGTCCCTCACAAGAAAGACTGGTGTCAACTTGCAAAGCTTTCAAGTTGCCATGAGCAGGAGGGAGGGAGAACTGAAGTGAATTCCATACATTCTTCCTGACCGCAATCAGAAGGAGGGTGTTAGGTTTCACAGCCAGCCAAAGTGGTTAATTGGAGAATGTGATTTATGACATGGCCAGAGAAGAGGGGAGAGACAGGGTCATAGGGGAACGTAAATCTACGTAGGATTAGTCCTAACTGCATCCCAGTATTGCCAGAATGGTGCTCCTAATAAATGACTATATTTCCTTTGAAGTTTGGAGCATGGCTCATGAATTAATTAGGGCATCTTTCGGAAACTTGACAACTGGATCCACACGGTTTAAGGGTAAAAGGTGTCCAAGAAACTCCCATCAAAACTGCACAGGCTGTACACATTTTTTTTCCTCTGCTTACTCGGGAGTGTTTTGAAAACAATGTGCCATACATCCAGTGGTGGGATTCAAATAATTCAACAACGGTTCTCTGCCCTAATAATTTCTTCCAAAAACCAGTTCACCAAACTGCTCAGAAAGTTAACAACCGGTTCTCCCGAAGTGGTGCGAAGTGGCTGAATCCCATCACTGCATACATGGCTACATAATGCTTGTCTGTTCTCGTACTCACCATAGCTTATTTTTAAACATAATTTACTGAATTAACAATGGCTGGAACTACTGGATACACTAAATCAGTGTTTCTCAAACTTGACAACTTCAACTCCCAGAATTGTCCTGTCAGCCAAACTAGGTGGAGAATTCCGAGAGTTGAAATCCACAACCTTAAATTTGCTGAGGTTTGAGAATGCATTTGAGTAATATCCAGAGAATAGAAATAGGAAGAGAATTGGAATTCTTGGGACATGGTGGCTCACTGAGTTTGTCGATCGAAAGGTCGGCAGTTCAGCAGTTCAAATCCCTAGTGCCGCGTAACGGGATGAGCTCCCGTGACTTGTCCCAGCTTCTGCCAACTTAACAGTTTGAAAGCAGGTAAAAAATGCAAGTAGAAAAATAGGGACCACCTTTGGTGGGAAGGTAACGGCGTTCTGTGCGCCTTTGGCGTTGAGTCATGCCGGCCACATGACCACGGAGACTTCTTCTGACAGAGCTGGCTCTTCGGCTTTGAAACTGAGATGAGCACCACCCCCTAGAGTCGGGAATGACTAGCTCATATGTGCGAGGGGAACCTTTACCTTTTTAGAATTGGAATGGAATAAAAATAGGAATAGGAATAGATTATAGCCTGCTCCAGATCATCACCTGGATTTACACAACATGCAGAATGAATTGGGGTTCTGACTTAATGCACTTTACAAATTTATCATAAGAATCAAACTTACCAGATCAGGCCAAAGATGACCAATCAGAATGTCTCTGCAAAACCCAGTTCTCCACCAAATGGTATTAGAACTGGACCGTGGATTTACTGTATAGCCATAATAACTAGAGAGCATTAAAGATCTTAAGAAACCAAAGCCAGTGCCATCCTTTCACCTTGGTACTCAAAATGCCACCTCCTACGTCATTTGCCACATGAATATGTTTCCTTTAATTTGACTTCCCGCTGGTTTTAGAGAATACTCTTATTCTCAGAATGGGTATTAGCACACTGGGTAGGCCAGACCAAGAAATCAATTCCACACAAAGCTAAAACTACTTTGATTGAGATAGGCTAAACATATTCTTTCCAAGTCTGATTCCCCTTCCTCCTTCCCTTATACTTCTGTGAATTCTTCCTCCTCCCTTTATACTTCTGTGAATTGGGGGGAAGGTCTCTACCCGATCCTTTTATGAATGTTATCTCATCTCTCTGGACTTAAAAGTTTCACCACGCCCCTTCGCCTAAGTACAGTTTTTGCTTATTTTCATTAAAATAATGTTCTTGATTCTCTACAACGGGAGGAAGCAAAATGTTTCAATATACAAAGCAAACCTATAGGAAACACAAAGGTTTACAAAAGGGGTGTTTTAATTATAAACAAGACAACCGGTCTGTTGAACTAATATGTTTGGGTAACTGCCAGAAAATCAAGTCCCAGTGAATTATCATCTGAGGGGGGAAAAAATCACACTGAATGAAAGTCAGGAGAATGCCGAAAGAGACTGGAGAAGATAATAAAAAAAACTGTACTAACAAGGATTTAGTCAATTTAAGATGAAAAACAAGTAATAAAAGATAACAATGTGGCTTATTTCCCAGACAGAAGAAGCCAGGAAAAACAAAGCAAAGCAAAACAAACAAACTGAGTTTTTATTTTTTTATCTTTGTGTGAAAATTGAAAAAAAATGGTATCAACATTAATTTGACCTTTAAAAACATGCATTTACACAAGCAACTGGCTGCATCTGTCCAAAGCACTAAATAAATTATGGTTAACCACTGGATTTACGCTGGGTTCATAATGAACGAAACAAGCCATGTTATTGTTTAATGTCAGAACCTGAATCCCCACAGACGACCCTCTTTAAGACATCAGCCTATCGATTTTCTTTTAGGTTGATCGTGGTTAACTGTGGTTTCTGGTGAAAACTCAAGCCATCATTTCAACCTAAACCCTAACTTGCAAGATAACTCCGGTGAAACCAAGTCTTCTGAATCTGTCGAATCCCTTTTCACCAAAAGAAGGACCGCATCAACAAACGGGGAAGAGGCCGCCTCCTTCCGCAGGAGCAACATTCGCTCATCTCATCCGCGTCAAATTTCAACACCAAAAACAGGGCATCGGTTGTGGGTTCGAGAGACGCCTCCATTTACCCAACTTCAAAAACAAAAAGGGGGAAGAAAAAAGTCAACGGTGCAAAATTGGGAGTCAAAACAGATTTAACAGATTAATGGAGTTGGAAGGACTTTATAGGTCATGTAGTCCAACTCGCTCCACCCCAAGCAGGAGATCCTACACCATTTCTGACAAATGGCAGTTCCAAGCTTGTCTTGAAAGTGACAGCCACAGCTTCTTGGGGGTGTGGAGGATGTTACAGCAATGTCACCCCATCTCCCAAAGCGGAGGGGGACACAAAGTTTCCAAATTCAGTGCTAGGGGATCGGGCAGGTCTCTCGCTTGGCATCTGTCTGTCCTTCATCAATTTAACAGATTAACAGAGTTGGAAGGGATCTTATAGGTCATCTAGTCCAACCCCCTCCTTCTCACGCAGGAGACCCTACACCATTTCTGACAACTGGCAGTCCACGCTTGTCTTGAAAGTCACAGCCCCAGCTTCTTGGGGGTAGGGTGGGGTGGGGGACGCTGCAGCAATCTCACCCCCCCCTTTCCCAAAGGGGGCACAAAGTTTCCAAATTCAATCCTAGGAGATCAGGCAGGTCTCTCGCTCGGCATCCGTCTATCCTTTCATTGATTTAACAGTTTAACAAGAGTTGGAAGGGATCTTATAGGTCATCTAGTCCAACCCCCTCCTTCTCACGCAGGAGAAGGTGGGGGACATTGCAGCAATCTCACCCCCCCACTTTCCCAAAGGGGGCACAAAGTTTCCAAATTCAGTCCTAGGGGATCAGGCAGGTCTCTCGCTCGGCATCCATCTACCCTTTCATCGATTTAACAGATTTAACAAGAGTTGGAAGGGATCTTATAGGTCATCTAGTCCAACCCCCTCCTTCTCACGCAGGAGACCCTACACCATTTCTGACAACTGGCAGTCCACGCTTGTCTTGAAAGTCCCAGCCCCAGCTTCTTGGGGGTAAGGTGGGGACGTTGCAGCAATCTCAACCCCCCACTTTCCCAAAGGGGGCAACAAAGTTTCAAAATTCAGTCCTAGGGGATCAGGCAGGTCTCTCGCTCGGCATCCGTCTATCCTTTCATCGATTTAACAGATTAACAAGAGTTGGAAGGGATCTGATAGGTCATCTAGTCCAACCCCCTCCTTCTCACGCAGGAGAAGGTGGGGGACATTGCAGCAATCTCAACCCCCCCCCACTTTCCCAAAGGGGGCACAAAGTTTCCAAATTCAATCCTAGGCGATCAGGCAGGTCTCTCGCTCGGCATCCGTCTATCCTTTCATCGATTTAACAGATTAACAAGAGTTGGAAGGGATCTGATAGGTCATCTAGTCCAACCCCCTCCTTCTCACGCAGGAGACCCTACACCATTTCTGACAACTGGCAGTCCACGCTTGTCTTGAAAGTCCCAGCCCCAGCTTCTTGGGGGTAAGGTGGGGTGGGGGACGATGCAGCAATCTCACCCCCCCTTTCCCAAAGCGGAGGGGGGCACAAAGTTTCCAAATTCAGTCCTAAGGGATCAGGCAGGTCTCTCGCTGGGCATCCGTCTATCCTTCACCTGCATCCTCCATCGAGGTCCAGTGTCATCCCCCCCCCCCCCCCCCTCGCCGGCTGCCCCGCCCCCTCCGCGTGGAAACCCCCCCCCCCCCACCCCCGAGAGGGCGATTTCAGGCCGTCCCCGCTTGAGCTTCCTCCGTATCCATCCCGGCGGGCTCCTGTGGATCCGGCGCCCGGCGCTTGGCGGCGCGCAGGAGGCTTTGGCGCAGCAGCGGATAAAGGCGCTGGCAGCCGTCGAGCCCCAGGCGGAGCGCTTGAGCCCAGCTGTCGGCTTGCCCGCCGTCGCCGCTGCCCAGCAGGCCGGAGACTTGGTTGAGGGAAGGCAGGAGAGCCACGGTGAGGCGGGCGGAGGCGGCGCGCTCTTCGGGCTCGCTGGGTTGGAGGCGCCACTCCGGGCCGGTCCGGCTGAGCGCGCAAGCCGCCACCAGGTCGTAGAGCTCGATGCCGGCGTCGGCCAGCGCCAGCCCGGCGGCGCACAAAGCGGCGGCTAAAGAAGAACCGCCGTCTTGGAGGAGCAGCGCGCTCACTTCCAGCTGCGCCCTCGGGTAACGCGCCAAGCGCACGGCCGGTTCCAAGGCTTCTTGCAACGCCAGAGCCAGCTCGGGTTCTTTCTCGCCCGGACGGCTCCGGGCTCCTCGGCCGGAGAAAGGAGCCCGTCGGAAGTCGCAAACCAACCGGCCTCGTTGTTCGGATGGAACCCCGCCTGCTCCGGCTGCTTCGCGCGGTCCGGCAACGGAGCACAAGACTTTGGTGCCTCCGTCCAGCTCCACGTAGGCCGAGCCTTTGGCTTGGCTCAGCAGCCCCACGCGGGCGAAGAGAGGCCGCAGAGCCGAAGGGTCCCGCTGGGCTTGGCTCGCTTCGCCGCTTTCCTTCGGCTCGGCCGGCACGTACAGCAGAGGCGACTGCGAGTCTTCCGGGCCCGGGATTCGGCGGTGATCCAACGGCATGGCCCCGGCTTTGGCGCGCCCTGGGCTCCGGAAAGGGAAGGGCGGAGGAAGGCGGCGGCGAAGGAAGCCTTTCGCCCCGAGCTCCCCCTGCCGGCTTCGGCTCTCCGAGGCGCCCGGTTGAAAAGAGCGCTTTTGCGCAAAAGCTTGGATCGCTGCTCCGTGCCCGACGGCTGTAGAGAGGAGGGGGGTCTCCACCCTTGGCAACTTTTAAGGCTTGTGGACTTCCAACTGGCTGGGGAATTCTGGGAGTTTGGAAGTCCACCAGTCTTAAAAGTTGCCAAGGGTGGAGACCCCTGGAATAGAGATTCTCAGGTCATCCAGGTTGTGGTTGTCCCAAAGGTGTTTCCCCCCCACCCCCATCGGAGAGGCAACTGAGCTTTCTGGTTTTTTTTTTTTTTAATTTGATTTATATGCCGCCCTTCTCCGGAGACTCAGGGCGGCTTACAATGCGCTAAGCAGTAGCCTTCATCCTTTTGTATGTTTATACAAAGTCAGCTTATTGCCCCCACAATCTGGGTCCTCATTTTACCTACCTTAGAAAGGATGGAAGGCTGAGTCAACCTTGAGCCTTGGCGAGATTCGAACCCTGCAGTAATTGCAGGCAGCTGGTCTTAATAACCAGCTGAATAACAGGGTGCCTTAGACCACTGTACTACCAAGGCTCCTCTTTTCTCTGAAGATCTTTCACTTCCCATCCCAAGAAGCTTCTTCAGCTCTGCCTGGATGGTGGGGGAATAGACTAGACTAGACTAGTCTAGAACAGAACAGAATAGAATTTTTTGTTGGCCAAGTGATTGGACACACAAGGAATTTGTCTTTGGTGCATACGCTCTCAGTGTACATAAAAAGACCAGATACGTTCATCAAGAATCATAAGGCACAACAGTCTCCAACCTTGGCAACTTTTAAGACTTGTGGACTTCCAACTGGCTGGGGAATTCTGGGAGTTGGAGGTCCACCAGTCTTAAAAGTTGCCAAGGGTGGAGACCCGCTGCTATAGAGATTTTCAGGTCATCCAGGTCGTGGTTGTCCCAAAGGTGTTTTCCCCCTACCCCCATCCGAGAGGCAACTGAGCTTTCTGTTTTTTCTCTGAAGACCTTTCGCTTCCCATCCCAAGAAGCTTCTTCAGCTCTGCCTGGATGGTGGGGGACTAGACTAGACTAGACTAGACTAGACTAGACTAGACTAGTCTAGTCTAGTCTAGTCTAGTCTAGTCTAGTCTAGTCTAGTCTAATAGAACAGAATAGAATTTTTTATTGGCCAAGTGATTGGACACATAAGGAATTTGTCTGTGGTGCATACGCTCTCAGTGTACATAAAAAGACCAGATATGTTCATCAAGAATCATAAGGCACAACAGTCTCCAACCTTGGCAACTTTAAGACTTGTGGACTTCCGACTCCCAGAATTCCCCAGCCAGTTGGAAGTTCACAAGTCTTAAAAGTTGTCAAGGGTGGAGACCCCTGGTATAGAGATTCTCAGGTCATCCAGATCGTGGTTGTCCCAAAGGTGTTTTCCCCCCACCCCCCACCCAAGAGGCAACTGGGCTTTCTGGTTTTTCTCTGAAGACGTTTCGCTTCCCATCCCAAGAAGCTTCTTCACCTCTGACTGGATGGTGGGGGAATAGAACAGAATAGAATTTTTTATTGCAGACAGCCGGTCATTTGCATTCTTTTAAAGAGTTAGGACTTACTTTCAGAGTAGGTCGTATTTTTGGGGAAACTGGTAGCTGGGCACAATTAAGGTACCGTATGTTTTGGAGTATAAGATGCACCTGCCTTTTTTGGTGAGAAAAAGAAGAAAAAGAAATCTGCCTCTGCCTCCCAGCAATTTTGCCTCCTTGCAGAAAACAGTCTGCTTTACTTTCATTTTTGTTTTCAGCATAGCTTGATTAGCACAAAAAAAAAAAAAAAAAAAATCTGCTCCAGCAATTTACCTCCTTGCAGCAAGCAGCAGAGGCCCTGACAAAACAGCTGAGAGCAAAACAGCTGAGAGTCGGGAGGCTGATCCGATCAACTTGTGCTAATTAGGATGTGCTGAAGCTGAAAGGAGCTGTTTCTTCTTGCTGCTTGCTACAAGGAGGTAACTTCTGGGAGGCAGAGGCCAAAGGGGGGGGGCAGTGGGTGGGTGGGGCTACATTTGGTGTATAAGATGCACCTAAATTTTCACCCCCTTTTAGGGGGGAAAAGTGCGTCTTGAACTCCCAAAAATACAGTAATCAAGACAATTTCAATAAGCCTCGTATCTGTTTTGAGTTACGCTTTCAATCAGCCCATCATCCATAACCACAGCTTGTTACGTGATAGGGATAAAAAAGGCTTCACTTTCCCTAATTTTTCTGCAAAGGAGCTAAAGGAGAACGAATCGTGTAAATCCAAAGCTTGCACTCTTTTCCTGCTGGCGTGCAACGCGCTGATCCAATAAAACGACACACTTGTTATTTCCACTGTGCGATACACAGAGTCTGCTTGTTTTATTCAGCACTGGCCCTATCTGACCCCCCCAATTTTCCACGGGGTAGGGCAGGCTCGTTCTAACGGAGGTTAAAACAATGAGGGGGAAGGAGGTTTCTACGGTTAGAAAAGAAGAAATGGGATGACGGCAGGTCAGATTCATCCCTGCGTATATTCACATTACGCCCCAAACTTAGTGCTTAATCACAGATGAGAAGGAAACTAACTGCACAATTCCCTTTAAACTGCACAGTGGCATTGCAATGAAGGATATACACTTATGTGACAACTGGAGGGTCAGTTCCTTATCAGCAGGTGTCCTGAGATGGCATGGCTGTTCTCAAGAGATGGGGCTCAAAGGGAAATAGCTCTGGCTTCGTGGCCAAGTATCCAGATAATCGACTTTTCCAACCATCTCGAGTTCATGCCAGATGAATGTAGGACAACCACGTACGGTCTAGTCCTCCGCCGATGGCGCTAAAAGAAACATCTAAGCTATTGGCCTGCAGGCAAGGAACATCCTTCCCGAGTTTGATCATCCCAGGTGGGGGTTCAGTTCTTCAACTCGCTGAGCTTCAGCTTGGCAAATTCGGTGGCCACCTTCAGGGCTTCCTCGAGGCAATCTGTGTTTTTGCCCGTAGCCTGGGCAGAGAGGTCTTTCCCTCCTCCCTTGCCGTCCATCAGCACGGAGACTTGCTGTACCCACTCGCTGGCCTTCAGCCCTTTGCCGGCAACTTCCTGAAACCAACAGAAAAGAATATTTGTAGCTCTGGATTGAACTGTGAGGTCCCTTGGTGCTCTCTGAGCCCGGTTGTTTTCTTGCAGATGTTTCATTATCAAATATGTTACCTAGTTTGGGAATGAAATGCCTGCAAGAAAATAACTAAGCTCAAGAGAGCACCAAGAATGCCACAACTTCCTGAAAGACAAAACACTTGCAAATCCGCAGTTAAACCATGTGTCAACTCGCAAAGCATCCCTAGCCTGCTCTTGAGTTGCCATAGGCAAGGGGGATGGGAAACCGATGAAGCAATACGGCAGCCAAAGACAGGAGCACATTCCAGACTTATCTTTCCCAAGGCTGTCTCCCAGGGTTACCCACAGTGGCTGGCGGGGAGTGATCTTTACAACCTGCTCCATTGGCAAATGTGATTGATGACACACCCTGGGGGGAGGGGGGGAAACAGGGTCATGATTAGGGCCATAAATTACGTGGGGTCAGAGTTGGCTTCATTTGGGTATGTGCTGACATAAAGCTTCTAATAAATAACTGGATTTCTTTTGAAGCTTGGCTCGAGGCTCATGATTTTGTCAGAACCCTGACGCCATGATAAGCATCCTCCATCAATGGCCACATAGGCTGAGGCTATTAGGAATTATGGTTTATGTTATATCTGGGGAAATCTCATAGGCTTTTCATCATTGCTCTAGATCAGGGGTGTCAAACTCCATTTCATTGAAGGCCACATCAGGGCTGTAGTTGACCTTGGAGGGGGGGCCAGGGGGGTGACTGGGTGGGTGTGGCCAGCTTGACATCCCCCCCCCCAAACTGCTAGCATGTTTCCTCTTCACAATGGATAGACTGGGCCGAAGCGACGTGGATAGACCAGGACGGCCCTATGGCTGGATCTGACCACATTGTTGGCCGGATCCACCCCTGCTCTAGATCTATAACTTTTTTTAAAAAAAGAATGGAACTTCTGTTTTTTGAATTATCCGTATTCTACCCAGACTCAGAGGTGCTCCCAATCTTTTTTTTTTTTTAATTTGATTTATATGCCGTCCTTCTCCGGAGACTCAGGGCGGCTTACAATGCGCTAAGCAATAGCCTTCATCCTTTTGTATATTTATACAAAGTCAGCTTATTGCCCCCACAAACTGGGTCCTCAATTTACCTACCTTAGAAAGGATGGAAGGCTGAGTCAACCTTGAGCCTTGGCGAGATTCGAACCTGCAGTAATTGCAGGCAGCTGGTCTTAATAACCAGCTTAATAACAGGGTGCCTTAGACCACTGTACTACCAAGGCTCTTACTTACCTGAGGAACTTGGCATAAGCAGGTAATTTTGCCTGCTTCGTTATCCACGCTGAAAAGCATCGCGGCTGTCTCAGGAGAATGTGTCTTCAAGAACTTCAGGGATTCATTCAAGGCCTGTGGAGAAAGAGCGTCCTGGGAACTGGCATTTGAAGCTGGATCAGAAAACAACTAAAAAACTGAAATAACCCATCATTTGGCAATCGAGGTCAGGCCGGAGGGAAGCCCACAGATCATTCATGCCAAGGTGGTGTGTGTGTACAGCCACTTCTTGTCCTCTAGATGGGAACCAAACGTACAACTTTCTTTCTCTGTTTTGTTGTTGTTCAGTCGCTAAGTCAGGTCTGACTCTTTGTGCTGTGGCCCGCCAGTGGCCAGCCGAGCTGGCAGCAGAGTCAGACAGTGAGGAGGTTGGGGAGGAACATGGGTCAGTCCTGGAGTCTGGGGAAGGCTCGGATGAGGGCTCTGCGTTGGAGGCAGAGAGAGGGCCAAGGCCATCTGATAGTTATTTGCTGCCTTCAGAGCCTCCAGAGTCTGACATCAGCGAGGCAGAAGAACGGTGTGAGCCTGTTCCCAGTGTGTGCATGCG